GCAGAATGGATGTTGGAAGTTGTTGGTGCTGCACCAGGTAGTCATGCCAATCAGGATTATCATGAAGTTTGGAGAAACTCATCAGAATACCAAGATATGCAAGGGGAATTAGGAAATATGGAACGTGAATTAGTCAACTTACCTAGGGATGAATCACCGGAGGCTAAGAAGTCATATGCTGCACCAATCTGGAAGCAATATCTCATTGTCACCAAGAGAGTTTTCCAACAAAACTGGAGATCTCCAACTTATATTTATTCCAAATTATTTTTGGTTGTTTCTTCTGCTTTGTTTAACGGGTTCTCTTTCTTCAAGGCTGATAGGTCTATGCAAGGATTACAAAATCAGATGTTTGCTATGTTTATGTTTTTGATTCCATTCAATACTTTAGTCCAACAAATGTTGCCATATTTCGTGAAACAAAGAGATGTATATGAAGTCAGAGAGGCACCATCTAAGACGTTTAGTTGGTTTGCTTTCGTCACTGCTCAAATTACGTCTGAAGTTCCATATCAGATCGTCTGTGGTACAATTGCATTCCTTTGTTGGTTCTATCCCGTAGGTTTCTACGAAAATGCAGTTCCTACTAATGCTGTTGACCAACGTGCTGTCTTAATATGGATGTACATCTGTTCATTTTATGTCTACACCTCGACCATGGGTCAATTGTGTATGTCTTTCAATGAACTCGCTGATAATGCGGCTAATTTAGCTACTTTGTTATTCACAATGTGTTTGAATTTCTGTGGTGTCTTAGCTGGTCCAGATGTCTTACCGGGATTCTGGATTTTCATGTACAGATGTTCTCCTTTCACTTATTTCATTCAAGGTATGTTGTCAACCGGTTTAGCCAACACTAATGCCGAATGTTCTAAAGCTGAACTCTTAAACTTTGAACCTATCGAAGGTCAAAATTGTGGTGAATACATGTCTGACTACATCAAACAAGCCGGTGGTTATTTGATTGACGAAAAGGCTTCCTCTGAATGTCAGTTTTGTCCAATGGACTCTACCAACGATTTCTTAGCAAGTGTCAATTCATATTACGCTGAAAGATGGAGAAATTGGGGTATCTTTATTTGTTTCATCGCCATTAACATCCTTCTTACAATTTTCTTCTACTGGTTAGCCAGAGTTCCAAAGGGTAACAGAGAAAAGAAGAAGAAATAAACTTAATACCCTTAATTACTCAGTGAGTAATCTATAAATATTATAAATTGGAAAAAAATTCAACCACTTCTCGTTAAGTTCAATTAATTTTAATATACTCAAATATTGTTATTTGATTTAATAAATAATTTTATACTATAGAATATCGTTAATGTAGTAAATGTCTATCATAATAATTGATCAGGTAAAAAAGTAGTGAAAAAATGAAAAATTATGGTGTGATCTTGAAGTGCGGTCATATTTTATATATATATAGACTTACTTTATGTAATTAGAACTTGAAATTCACAAGTTCATTCATATTATCAAATTTTTGCAAAATGGCGTCACCTAGTGATATTCACAACACTGAAATACCGATTAGGCATCGTATGGAAGCACTCGTTAGGTTAAAGCAACGAGAAATCACAGCAGCTATAGAAAACATCGACCAGGCTAAATTTCACACAGATGCGTGGGAAAGAGGCGATAAAGGTGGTGGTGGCCAATCGATGGTATTACAAAACGGTGAAGTGTTTGAGAAGGGAGGTGTTAACATTTCAATTGTTCACGGAACGTTGCCTGCTCAAGCCGTAACTAGAATGAGGGTCAACCACAAGAATTTGAAGGGATGTGGAGAAGATGGCAGTGTCAAGTTCTTTGCGTGTGGTTTATCCTTAGTACTCCATCCTACCAACCCGCATGCCCCTACTACACATGCCAATTACAGGTACTTTGAAACTACTGACCCCGAAACTAACGAAGTCCAGACGTGGTGGTTTGGCGGTGGTGCAGACTTGACACCGTCATACTTGTACGAGGAAGACTGCAAACTCTTCCACCAATGCCACAAGGACGCGTTGGATAAGTACGATACCACGTTGTACCCCAAATACAAGAAATGGTGTGACGAATACTTCTACATTAAGCACAGACAGGAAACAAGAGGTGTGGGAGGCATCTTTTTCGACGATTTTGACGATAGACCCGCCGACGACATCTTGTACATCATTGAATCTTGTTTCGATGCCTTCTTGCCCTCATACATTCCATCGGTCTTGAAAAGGATGAACACCCCCTTTACAGACGAACAGAAACATTGGCAGCAGATCAGAAGAGGTAGGTACGTCGAATTCAACTTGGTATTGGACAGAGGAACCCAATTTGGCTTACAGACCCCTGGTTCCCGAGTAGAGAGTATATTAATGTCCTTACCAGCCACGGCCAGCTGGGTCTATGATCATCATCCAGAGGAGGGGAGCGATGAGGACAAATTGGTAAAAGTATTGCAGAATCCTATCGACTGGGTTTAGCCAATACATTTTCGATATCGAGACTATTGAACCTAGTAGAACCAATAAAACGTTTAAATATCTTTCTTTTACTTAATAATAGCCGTATATAAACTCATTCTGTCAAAATATATAATTACCGTATTGATGGACACTGAAAAATAAAATTCTGACACAAAAAAAAAATTGACCGCTTCACCACATGGGAAATTTTTTAATCTTCTTCTTCAATGCTATAATCAAATCCAGCGGTTATTCAATATTATATATACCTAAAAGGCAGATATAATCGAAGAAACACGATCAAATATAGCGTTCGAGAATATTTATGATCTCCTGTCGTTAAGAGTTTAGAAAATTATGATATTTTCCCTTTGTTGCTATAACTAAATAATTAATGATGTCCGATAACGAAAGTTTCCGCTCAGTCTCACCATCCAGAGAAATTCTCCATAGAGCTGCTAATACGGGTCAAGTGTTGAATGATCACCGAAACCAATTACCATCGTTGCCTATTCGTGGGACTGGTGGTGGTATGGGGCAGTCATCAGCAGTAAGCGATGACGACGATGACGATTATCAATCGTCACGGTCTATGCAAGATGCGCAGCAGCAGCAACAGCAACAACCCCAGCCATTTCATCCACAGTTACAAGGTAGTAGAAGTGTCGATGAAAGCCAGTTTCCAAGGGCGAAGCAACCAGGTCCATCGCAACCGTATAGAAGTACCAAAAATGCGCATATGAATAACTTGAGAAGAGACTTCTATTTGAAGAATGACGAATACGACAATGAGCGTTTCTATGTTCCGAGTCAGAATCCACAACCACTGCAAAGTTCTTCGATTCCAGTACGTAGAGGCGCAGGTGGGATGGCTGCTGCACCTAAACAGAGTAAAGGGCGTTTCAGATCACATTCATTTTCAGGACAAGCTAAATCTGATGGCCAGGAGGAGTTTAGAAGACACCAATCGATCGCGGCTGCACCTCCGTTCGGAGGAATTTTGATGAGACCTGATAATCTATCTTCTAAAAAGACTAAAAGAAGCAACTCAACGGTCAATGATACGTTAGAGACGGATCTTGCTGCGCCAATGACGAAATTGAAGACAAACGAGAGTGTGACTTCTGAAGCTCAAAATAACAATAAAAGAGAAAGAAGACCATCACGTACTTCCATAGATAGCGAGGCTGATTCGCATGCGTCAAGGTCTTCACAAGAGACAGAAGAAGATGTTTGCTTTCCTATGTTGCGTGAACACGTTCGTGTTAAGGGTATTGATTTTGATGAAATTGAAGAGTTTATTAGAGATGAGAGAGAGAATGAAATGCTTGTAAAAGAACAACAGCAGATGATCGCAGAAAGAACAGCCATGAGGGTTGATACTGGACACGGGAGTGCGCGCGATGTAGGTCCCAGTAAAAATGCCTTGAAGTATACTCCATCAAACATATTAGGAAAAGCCACCTTCGGAAAGTTTGGTAAAAAGAATACCTATACAGGTGACAATATGTCTTCATCTGGTATTAATATTTCGGAGAGGGCGCATTCAGATTCTTCTACCGTTACAGATGAGTCTGCCTCTAGGAGATACAACGAAAAGACTTTGGGAGACGAGGATACTTCGAGTGAAAATGTTAAGTTTGGTGGTGCAAGAATCAACGATAGTGATTCTGTATTACCTGAAAGGTTTTCATTCTTCTGTTCCGAATCCGAAGAAACGATTCATGCTCCTGATATTCCTTCATTGGTCAAACCTGGACAGAGTGTAAGCGATTTGTTTAGAAATGGTGAAGGTACATGGTGGCTTGATTGTGTTTGCCCTACTGATGCTGAAATGAAAATGGTAGCTAAAGCATTTGGCATCCATCCCTTGACAGCTGAAGATATTCGTATGCAAGAAACCCGTGAAAAAGTGGAATTATTCAGAAACTATTATTTTGTGTGTTTCCATACTTTTGAAGGTGACCAGGAATCGGAAGATTACTTGGAGCCGATTAACTTTTATATCGTTGTTTTCAGAGAGGGTGTATTATCGTTTCATTTTTCACCTATTTTACACCCTGCCAATGTGAGAAGAAGAGTCCGTCAATTAAGAGATTACGTTGATGTCAGTGCTGATTGGATCTGTTATGCATTAATTGATGACATTACAGATGGATTTGCCCCAGTTATTACTGATGTCGAATACGAAGCCGATGCAATCGAAGATTCTGTATTTGCTACTAAAGAAGTTGGTTTTAGTAGCATGATTCGAAGAATTGGTGAATCGAGAAGAAAGGTAATGACCTTGATGAGATTATTGTCAGGAAAAGCAGACGTTATTAAAATGTTTGCTAAGAGATGTCAAGACGAGGCTGCCAATAGCCAAATAAATATATTCCAAGCACATCCCAACATTAATGGAATGGGTAATTATTATTCACAAACAAGTGGACATACTGCACAAGGCCATACATATAATGGATCATACACACATAGTCACGATAACGAAAGCCCTTACCCACAGGGTTATAATAATAATTCAAATTCGCAGGGATATAATCAAGGCGGCCCAGGTGTGACGTTTGGCCCTGGCCCTGGCCCTGGTACATCCAACAATATGATTGATCCGGGTGCAATTTATATGAAGACTCAGCCAGATAGAACTCAACCAAGGGCTGACATAGCGCTATACTTGGGTGATATTCAAGATCACGTCGTCACTATGTTCCAAAATTTAGTGGCGTACGAAAAAATTTTTAGCAGATCTCATTCTAACTATTTGGCGCAATTACAGGTTGAATCCTTCAATTCTAATTATAACGTGACTGCTATGTTGTCTAATGTCACGATGATAGGTACAGTCTTCTTCCCATTGAATTTGATTACCGGGTTATTCGGTATGAACGTTATTGTTCCAGGTCAAGGTGAGGATAACCCAGGCCTTGGCTGGTTTTTCGGTATTTTTGGGGTTATGTGTGCTATAGTTATTCTAGCTGTAATTGGTGCGCGTGTTTGGATCCTGAGAGTTACCAGAAAAACGCCATTTGATGAGGAAAACACAAAAAAATCCATTAAAAGCTATGGATTAAAGACGAGGACAAAAGAAGCTGCAAAATCGATTATCAGCTTCCCAAATAAATACGATTAATATAACGTACCCCAATTAGAATTTACTTTTTGCATATGGTTCATCTAATTGAATGGGGGTTTAGTATTAATTTTTATAATAACCAGTTTCATAATGCATCAACATTTCCGATCAATTTTGTTACCGGTCCGAATGAGCATTTTGGACTGTGGCTTTATGTTGCAATATTTTATAAAATTAGCTATTCCATTATATATATATATATATGTAGATAGATAGATAGATATATGGAGAATTAAGTCTGATTATATTTTTACCTTCAGTAGCTAGAAAATGACAAAAAATAAGCCAAATTTCTTGGTTATTGTTGCTGATGATCTAGGATTCACAGATTTAAGTGCGTTTGGTGGAGAAATTTATACACCTAATTTGAAGAGACTTGCAGATCATGGTGTTAGATTTACTGATTTCCATACTGCTTCAGCTTGCTCTCCAACTAGATCCATGTTGCTCTCGGGTACTGACAATCATATTGCTGGGCTAGGCCAAATGGCTGAATTTACAAATAAATTGCCAGAAAGATTTAAAGGTAAACCTGGATATGAAGGTTACTTAAACGAGAGGGTAGCAGCATTGCCTGAAATTTTACAAGATGGTGGATACTACACGTTTCTTTCGGGAAAATGGCATTTAGGATTGTCAGAAGAATATTGGCCAATAAAAAGAGGATTTGAAAAATCATTCACTTTATTGCCTGGTGCAGGTAACCATTATAAGTACTTCCCAAGAGACGATAATGGAGAAACATTGAAGTTTTTGCCGCCATTATATTGTGAAGATGATCGTGGAGTTAATGCTGATGAAGAAATCCCAGAGAATTTTTATTCCACCGATTATTTCACTACTAGAGGGTTAGAATTCTTGGACCAGAAGTATAGAAAGGGAAGGCCATTCTTTGGTAGTTTAACTTACACTGCTCCTCATTGGCCATACCAAGCACCAGATGACAGAATTGCAAAGTACAAGGGTATTTATGATGATGGCCCAGAAGAATTACGTAGTCGTCGGTTAGCTGGTGCTGCAAAATTAGGACTTATTCCAGACGGAGTAGAACCACATCCAATGACAACAATAAGAAAAAGATGGAGAGATTTAACGAAGGAGGAAAAGGAGATTCAATCAAAGATTATGGAAACTTATGCTGCCATGGTCGAAATTTTAGATGAAAATATAGGTAGAGTTTTAGACCACTTAGAAAGTTCTGGGGATTTAGAAAATACCTTTATTCTTTTCATGTCAGACAATGGGGCTGAAGGTATGTTTATGGAGGCCTTGCCATTATCAATTCAAAGAATCTCTGGTTTTGTTGACAAGTATTATAATAATTCTCTTGAAAATATTGGTAAGAAAGATTCGTTCGTCTACTATGGGGATCAATGGGCTCAGGCACTGACAAGTCCTTCATCTATGTATAAGGCATACAATTCAGAAGGTGGAATTAGATGTCCCTTAATCGTACACTATCCGCCTATCATAGATGCCTCGAGTAAGAATGGCCAAATTTCTCACACTTTCACTACGGTGATGGATATCTTGCCTACCATTTTGGACTTAGCTGGAGTGGAACACCCGGGTACTTCCTATAAAGGACGTACAGTTGCAAAGCCGAAGGGGAAATCTTGGGTAGCACATTTGCTGAGTAAGGATTCAAAAGTTCATTCAGAAGAGACTGTTACAGGGTGGGAACTCTTTGGTCAACAAGCCATTAGAAAGGGTCCTTACAAAGCCTTATATATTCCAGCCCCACATGGACCAGACAAATGGCAATTATTCCACATTAAGAATGATCCTGGCGAAAATCATGATTTGGCGGAGAGAAACCTTAAAAAATTAGAAGAACTTTTAAATCACTGGACTGATTATGTTGCTGAGACTGGGTTGATTGAAGTTGGTGGAGAACTATTCGATTGCGAAAAACTCAATGAAGATGATACTATAGAGTTCACTGTAATTGAAGACTAATTGAAGACTAATAGAAATATAGAGCATATATAACTTCTTAAATATGTATTAAAGTCTATAAAATTAAACTACGAAAAAGTTATTTCTTATGCTTACTTTTCTTATCTTTCTTATCTTTCTTATGTACTTTATGTTTATGTTTCGTTTCGGCTTCAGCTGCATCCATTGGAATCCAAATTTCATTCTCAGAAATGTCCTTAGGAAGCTTTGGGCCACTCTTATCGTGGAAAACCTCTTTTCTCCAGTCTTGCAAATGCCTCTTTTTAGTATATTTCCTTTTGTCTTTCAATCTGAGTTCTTTAGGCCTGTAAGGAGCAAACTTCTTGAGACCAATAAAATTGTTCAATTGTTTATCATCAGCCAATAAAATATCTCTTGTTGTTAAACCAAATGTCTCAGGAGAAACTTCACGGTATTTGAATTTGACCTCGTCGTTGCCTCTGGAGCGCCCTCTTTCATCTTCAACTTCATCAAGGATTTTGAGTTTATTAGCTTCAACTATTTCCTGTGCCTTTTCTTTTAACGATTCTTTTTCTTTCTTAACTGCCTTCTTATCCTTCAACTTCTCCTTTTTGGATTTCTTTGTAGGTGGCTCTTCTACATTATCTTCTTCTACCGGCTCTTCATCTTGAAAGTCACTGTTATCTTCATCATTTTGTTTCTGATTATTAAAATCTGCCATGATTTCATCATCCTCATCCCACTCAGGCTTGGTTAATTCAGCATTGTAGTACTGTTCATTGAAAATCTCAGCCATTTTGCTATCCCAATCCGCATCATCAAAATCTTCACTTAATAAGGAATCACCAAATACCTTTTTGATGACCTCATCATCAACTTCATCACCAACAGCTTGTTTGATCTTTTCAAGTCTGTCCAAAACTTTATTCAATTTCGCAGTTTTCTTCTTCTTCAATAATTCTTGTTTCTTTTCTTCTTCTTGCTCTCTTTCATCGTTCTTCTTATCTCTTTGTCTCTTACGAGAGTTGGTTGCTGATCTTCTTAAAGTGGCTTGATTACGAGCATACGAAACAATTTCGGCGGAATTTGGATCCTCATATCTAAAGTTATAGGCACGTTCAAAGTCTTCCACTGCCTGATCAAATTGTTCGTCATCTTCATTATCAATTTTATCCAAATCGATTACCTTGTCGTTTTTCTTAGGAATCCAAGCTTGTTTATCAATGAAAGCACTCAAAAATCCATCTTGGTTGACTTCTGGATCTGGCAACTTCGTTTCTACTTCACCAAAATTTCTGGATCTGACATGTTCTTTTTTAGTTAAGAAATCATCATCATCATCTTCATTTTCATCGTCATTATCAAACTGATTTTTAATATCAGAGATTAATTGATTTCTCTCTTCTCTTTGAGTTACTGCAAATGGCTTTTCACCGTCTACAGTTTCAAAATCATTTTCATCATCATCTTTGTAGTTACCTGATAATAAGTTCATCCTGTGATAATCTTTCAAATAAATCGGAGTTTCCTTACTTTTCCTGGCTTGAGAACCAGACTCTTCGATGGCAGGGTCTTCAAAGAATTTCACTCCAGGGTCCAATAACTTCTTTGGATCACTTTTAAGCGTACTCAATATTTTGTTTATACCCTCTTGGACATTATTAGTGATTAAGTTACCATATTCATCTTCTTCTTCAGATGAGAATGATTCATCTTCATCGTAAGATTCTTGAATTTGTGTCTTCTTCTCAGGAAAAGATTCCTTCGTTGCGATTGTTGTTGTAGCTTGAGAGGTATCATTCTCAAGCGCTTCCTTGGCTCTCTTAGCAGCGGACTTCTTTCTAGCCATGATTACGTTATTTCTACTTTAATATTCTATTTAGGTATTCTTCATGTTCCATAGCGATGAGATGTAAAAATTTATTAAAGATATATATTGCCTGCATATAAAAATAGATACTAAAGCTTTAATAACGAAACATTAAGGTCCTCTGCAGCTCGTTTTGATTCATACCACCATTTGAAACCTATTTCACATCTATTCAAGTCCATGTTTTCACTAAGAACCTTCCATAACATTGATGTCAAATAAGGTATTTCATGGGTATTACTCATTTCGATCAAACTCCATATCTTATCTAACCACTTCGTAAATATTGATAATGGCAAGTAAGGCACTAAGTTTATTGCGGAAACAACTAAGGCTTCCCTGGTTGTTTCAGGTTTAGTTCTTCTTTCAAACTTATAGTCATTGGAGGACTTGTTTTTCGGTAATCTCAAATTGACCACAGCTTTCGGCTTCTTTCTCTTATTGGCACGGATGATGTCAGTATTTTCATTCTTTTTCTTATCCAAATGACTCATGGTAGAGGATGCAGCGATTTCAGATATAGGCTGAGCCGAAGTGAACGCAACTTCGTTAGTACTTTCATGCGAGTCTATGGGAATTCCAGATCTTGCATGTAGACAAGCAAAATATAGAAAGTTTAAAAATTCGTCCACAGAATTGGCATACAAGCCTTCATTATATGAAACGGGAGAAGATAAGATCTTTCTTCCTACTGTTTCTACCCCTATGCTTAGTTGGTTTGATGACAATAATCTTGGGAATTGTTTGATGAGCAACTGAACATATTCGGTAGAATCTTTTATACTTGTACTATTCTTCTCGCTGGAGAAGCATATCAAAAGGACCGAGTGGCTTGCTTCTATCAATTCAGGATCGACAAATATGGAATCATCAACTAAATGAAGACACACAGAAAATATATCATGTTTGATAAATGCTTGGTTTTGTTTTTCTTGTTGCAAATAATTCTCCCATAACCCTAAAACAAACAATACTTTACAACGAACCAAATAGTTATTGTTGATAACCTCTGGAAATAAATTGACTTCTTGATAATCTCCTATTAAGAACCTTGTTAAGTTTTCAAATTCAAACGTAGATGAACCGTTATTCAAGGCAAACTCTAAGGTTAAGTAATAGACAAAATTGTAACTGTCAAAGCCCCCTTGTCCAATTGAGTGCAAAATATGATTCATATAATATAGGTTATGCAAAATCTTCAAGGAGATTTGTTTATATTCTAATTCCAAAGAATTGAAGGATCTTGATGTATAAATCTTCGAAAAAAAAGTCAAATTATTACCTGCTGTTGAAGTTAAAAACCTTGTTAAAATACCCTGATAAACAACAACTTCTGCAAATAAAAGGGTTTTCATCAAGTACCAAAATCGATGGTTAATGGAACTAGTAGCACTATCTATAGATTGCGCGGGATTGTGATTAAACAAAGACGCTTGTGTTGAGAAACACAATGATTTATTGAATATATGAACTTTATCCAAGCTATCCAAAATTAATGGATATGATGATTCATGGATAGGTAACTTCTTGAAATAACTCTCTAACAAAAATGCAAGTTTGTTTAACTGTTTCAATACAGGCTTCAGCATAATTTCTGACTGGACTGTTTCATCGGCTTTTGGGTCATCTGGATTTATCAAAAAGAACTTAGTGTATACCATTGCAGATATATCTGAATTTCCGAATATCAAATGAATTAATCTCGAAATGATGAAATTGCTCGATATGTTCAGCGTATAATCTCCAATGTTTTCTTCTTTGCGGTATGTTATTGCTAAACTAACTAACGTTAAATTGATGACATCATCTGAATGTGTGGCAGAAAGTGTGTATTTCAAACAGTATTTGAACAACTTCATAATCTTTTCATCCCAATCTTTGAAAAACCATCTATATTCAAGCGGATAATCCTTAATATATAGCATATTTCTTAAATCATTTGATAGCAATAAACCACTAATAATAGGCAACACTTTCCAGCTATTAATTTGGGGATTGAAAAGTGCAAAATTGTTAATTTCCTTTAAAATAATCGTATACCAAGATTTAATTGATAACGTTGGTTTCGAAATTTTTAATTTCTTGTCTGCAATTAACTTGAAAACCTCAATTATCATATAATTCGATTCAAATGGAGCACCCCCCTGGCCAAAACATAAAGGATTGTTAAGAAAACTAGCCACTACCAATTTAAGGTTATGTTCATATTTAACATAAGGGATATAATGGTATAAATATCCCAATGTTTTGTGAATGGTAGTATCCGGCAGAGGAAATCTCAAATCATTGATCAAGAAATCCAAATCTTGTGGAGTAGGCTGCAGGTAATTTTGAAAGCTTCCGTTCATCAATGCTCTTCCTTGATCTCCTAAGACTCTGTTCACGTTCGACATTTGTATTATACCAACTTAGCCTTCAATGCCATCGTTTGCAAGATCACCATTTATTCAAAGAATCTGGAGTAGTTGGCCGAGGCATCAACTGCTTTCACGTGACCATAAATATGACTGATATACGACAACTCATACTGGAGGATATCCTATTACTGTTTCAAAAATAGTTATTTATTATATATATTCATAGTATTATTATTTAAACTGTTAGATATTATGAAATCAGGTTAATGGAATTAAGCAATTGGACAATAATAAAAACAGATGGGAAACACTACAGGCGTAGGTATGGTGAAATGTAGGTATTTGTTTATCGATATTAGTAGTGGAATTGTTCAGCTAGAAGATAAGTATGCTCTATTCATGCAATTGAGATGAGCACTAAGTTCATAAAGACAAGATTAGGGATACGAGATTGGAGACAGATCATGGTTCAATTTGTTAAAAAGAACGTCTCTACTACAACTAGTATTAGTTAAGCTCATCAATCATCCATAAATTTTTAGAGATGCAAGCAGGACATGGATCTACAGTAGCCTTAAATAGTTACGAAAAAACTACCACCAGAGATTATGAAAATGGTATAATTGAAGCACAAGTTGATGTCAGAACGTTGGCGCGAAATCATCAACGTTCCCTTATCGCTTAACGAATTGGAAAACTTCAAAGCCAATATCCAACTCACCAGTAAAGAAATGAACTGATTAAACGAATTATGTACTTATATATTGATTATTTATTTATTTCTACGAAATCAATGGCCTATGATTTGTAGTCGCTATTGATGTTGGGGACACGAACTTGTCTGGGTTCAATGCCAAGCGTGAAGACAGGATTAGTGCCAAAGAAGAAGCTTTGTCTCAGGCGAGGCATAGTTACGGCAGTCATCTCAAGCTTATGGATGTGGGACCGACTATCGCTACACAAGACTTTCGCGAGGGTTTTGAAGAAGATTATATTGTACAAGATACGTCTAGTAACAATACATATGTTAGGGTTGTCAATCGTAATGGGAACTTTGGTGGCTATGAGTTTAATGATTTGGAGAGTCTTCTAAAAAAAAGAGCTGATACTTGTGAGCAAGGTAAACATTGCAGCACCAGCGAAACACGATACTTTGGACCTTATTCTATAATCTTTCCTAAATACAACTAGAATGTTAGTAAAGTATACATATATAGATATACGCGAGAATAATGTCGTTATAAAGGAAGCATTGATAATGCTTGGCTATGGGTCGTGACAAGAAGTGTTTCAATTTATTTTATCACTTAAAATATTGGCCTTATTGGTCTTGAAGTGGTTCAGAACCACAAGATAATTAGCAACTGTACAATTAGAGGACTCAACCGCGTAGCTATATACCATATGATATAATGTCTCCAATTTAAGTTAATTAGTATAGTTTGATCAAAGTCTTCTCTAATGATGTTTTACCGCCTAAATCTTTTTTATTTCAAATGGGCGCAAAATTGAGATGAAGAAACTAGAAGATATTATATTTCCAAGTTTGTCAATTTTTACCGTTAACTTAGCTCCAGGTAACCGAAATGGGCTTTTATGCACCTACTCGACGGCACACATATATTTCAGCTCTGTTTTATATATTCCAATAGCTAATACAATACTTTATTGAGCATCAAAGTGGGTCCAGTCGAAAGAATTCAAACTTCTAAGCAGTTATCTTTTGAGACTTGCTGACCATTCTGCACCCCCCGATGTTCGTTATAAAACATGAATAGGTGTAATTTATAACAGGAGACAGATATGACGTTGTAAGTAATAACTAACTGGAAAACAGAACACGTGACTTTTTTAAATCTGACTATAATTTTTTTCGTGCAATGAACGATCAAGTAGAGGTAAGCTAGTATATCAAGCCATATAAGAGATTATATTGACATATCGTGGTCGAAGTATCTTCATAGCATTATCTAAATTCTGGATTAATTTTGCATTTCATTTGTTTTCTTGTTTTTTGTTTTTTGTTTAGTTTCCTTTGTTCAATACTAAATTATATCATATTCGTTTAATACCCAACCCAATGCTGTTACGGCAGTTACCATTTGTCAATACATGTCGGAACTTGTATTTCAATATTAAGAACTACAAGTCTCCTGGGAAAAGACCGACATTTAGAGCTGCAAACCATCCATTCTGCACCAATTCACAGTTACAAGATCAGTCATACACTAATTGGTTGATGAAGACTTCTAAAACTATACCGTCCAAAATATTCAACCACATTGCAGAGAAACAAGAGAGAGAAAGGCGATATAGGGATCGTGAAGAAGATAAATATAATTGCACAATCTCAAGTAGTTTGTACGTTAACCAACTCAGTAATATTCAAATACCTTCTGAATTGACAGTTGATGATCATCGTTCTCAGAATAAAAGTGCTATTGGCAAGGAGATTATTAAATTGATGGAAGAACATAATATAAAAACAGTGGCAGAAAGGCTACGCTTGTATAAAGAAGAAGACAAATTGGTTGAACCAGAAATAATAAATCAAATATTTGAAATGGCAATTGAAAACAAGCCGAAGCGAGAGGTCCTACCAAATGAATGTGAAGTAGAACTACCAAGATATCAACGTAACACAGGACTATATTTGGATACCTCATATTACCGGTTCATATATGACAAAATTCCGCATTTATATGATATATGCCAATCATACGAGAAGATAATGTTTAATAATAAAAAGTTTCAAGAAAACTATATCTGGCTATGCTATCACATGGATAATGTCAATACACTACAACAATTAGTTTATGTTTATCTAAAACAATCAGACTATGACTCTAAAGTGATAAGTTATATTATGGGTGGATTTATTCTAAATTATGAAGTTGAGTTTTCCAAAACATTGCTTCAAAATATAATTAGTTTAGGAAAACCGCTAGACGCATCCGTTCTTGATGTTGCAATTCACCAATTTATTAAGGTTGATTCGTTATTTGAAAATATAGCCTCAGTACTTGAATCGTGGATCAAAGCTAAGAATTGCATGCAGCCAACTCCTAAAACAATGGCCACGATTTTAGGTGAATATTACAAGTATGGTACTAAGGAAGAAATTGGGCTCATAAAAAGTTTAATCTCTTCTTTGGGATACTCCAACCATACCTTGATAAAGCAAATAAATTTGAAGTATAAAATAATACAAAGAGACCCAAGCCACTTCAAAAAGGACGTATTGAAAGAAGACATAGTTGAATTTAATGAAATCTCGAGAGAGTTGAATGCTAATAAGCAAGAATTAATGGATTTCTACTATTCTTTTATGATCATGTTTAGTAAATACTCGGATTTGAAAATGATAAAATTTGTGATTTATAAGATGCAGCAAGAAGGCATTGAGCTAGATGAAAAGTTTTTCAGCGTAATTTGTAAATATTACGCTACACATGAAAAGTTTTTACAGTTGTTCAACTTTTTGAAAGCTATTTCGAAGAATCTAGAATTTAATGAAACATATTTACGGGTTTTGTTTGATGGTTTTGTCAATACTTATCCTCATTACGCAGACGAATTTACTAATAAATTTCATCTGTGGATTAAAGAAAGTACTTCCTTTAAGGATTGTGATAAGGAGCGCTATTTGTCAGCTATGAAAATTGTAAAACTTGAATCGCAATATACTCCATACGGTATTCACAATAATATATTAAATTCAAAGAAATATGAATCGTGTGATTGGTCTAAGATATCATGGACGAGGAACTTGAGAGGCAAAGCGGATCCTGTTACAGGACAGGTCAATTTTAGGGTTACTAAGGGATTCAGGGATATTTTGCGAAAGGGTGTTAAACCTGATTATAACGTAGTAGAAAGCACATTTAGACGACTGAATGCAGAGAATAGACGTAAATTATTTGAGCTATTAGACACTATAAGACTTCCAGCTACCAAACAGCAAAAGTTATCTATTATAGATCTCCAAGTCGACACAACTAAATCAAGGCTCTTCAAATACTATACAAATGGAATTAACCACTTGAATTCAAATAACAGAATTTTATTGGGAAGAATTTTCTTCAACAATGGGATGCATTCGCAAGCGAATACCGTTTTAAATGGAATGAGATTGGAGGAAATGAACGACAGGTCTTATATGGCTAAACTTAACATCCAATTGCGTAACTATATGGCATGCCATCAGTATGCAAGTATAATTGATACTATTCAACAGTTTCCCATCGATGATATCGTGTTAAGCCCTTATATTTATAACCAATGTTGCTATATCGAGAAAAAGTTGATGCAGAAATTGAAAATTGAAGAACTAAAAGAACAACAAAATAATTTACAACCACATCGACAAAATACTTACAGCTATGTAGCTACAAATGGAGAATTGATAGAAAATGCTCCAAAACTTGGTATGAAATTACCCCCACCACAGTATACAATTGCACCCGCATTAAAGACATTGAGAGGACTTATTGGTGATATAGACGCAAGACTTACGAAGGATAGAACAGATATTATGAACGAAATTCAGCAAATGTTCACATTCTTAAATAGGTGGATAGCTGATAGTAGAGATGAACGAAAGATATAGATCTCTATTTCCTGTATATAAACTATTTTTTTAATACTAAATACATAGTAGAATGACTAGATCAGCAGAAGAACAAGCTAATCAAGTAGACACAAAGCATGGAAGAGATAGAGGAGAATCTTCAAGTGTGGGCGCCAGTGGTATGTATTGGGCTTTAAAGACTATAACACTAATCTATCGAATTTTTACTAACCATTTACAGGATGACCAGTTGAAGAGTATTTTGATCGCTAAGATACACGCCACAATAGAATGTTCAGTGTGTCAAGAAATTATGCATGTACCGTTCATGATGCAGTGTGGGCATTCTAGTTGTTATAAATGTCTCCATACGTGGTTCGGAGTAAAGATGAACTGTCCTACTTGTCGAGAAATCAATGAGAATAAGCCCATTCTAAACGTACCTTTGCGGCAAATCAGTAGAAATATATCAGACTTAATAATTGAGATGACGAACGATAAGGATGAAGCAGATAGAATAAAAAATCAGAGAGAGGAAGCTATTGAGGAATATCAGCTGGATTTTGAACAAAATGCGCTTTTTGGTGATGCATTCAAATCAGCATTGACTTTAATAGATAGATCAGATGGTGTACCTAGATGCGGAAATTGCCACTGGGAGGCACACGGAACAGTCTGCTTGCATTGTGGTACCAGGTTTCGTATACCAAGAGAAGATTCATATTACGATTCAGACGATGGAGATGCCTACGATGAGGATGACGAAGAAACATCACGTTATGGTGGTAATGGTAGAGAAGAATACGATAGTGAGGATAGTTTCATTGACAATGGTATACCATCTATTGACTTGAGGGGTGGAGATTCTTCAGACGATGTACGTGAAATAAATGGTGACGAATGGACAGGGTTCGATAATCAGAGCATAGGAAGTTCGATGAACGACGATTACGAAGCAGATTTACATAGAGCATTGGAAGATTTCCATAATGATGCATTAGATGACGATAGCGATGACACTGATGACATTATCCATAGAAGGCCGAGGGTTATCGACATTAGTGATGATGATGAATAGTTATTGAAGAACTAGATAACGAATCTGCACAACTCAAATCTCACTAAAACGTTTGGGCAAATTGTGCATATTACACAAAACTTCAAAAATCGAACTATCATTGGTTCATTGAAAATTCAGTACTAAAATCAACTGATATTTCTTTGAGCACTAGTAATATTAATATATTTTGATAATTAGTAGGATATAACACAACGTATGTATACATATAAGTAAAGTGGATCACATCTTCAACCAATGTCTTGTTGTTCATAAAGTGTTGATTATTTTTTGCGTAAAAATATAGTGAATCGATTGGTTTGAGTATTAAAGTCATATGTAACGACAATTAAAACACATTACTAACAAGAATTAGATTAAAATGGCCAACCCACAAAGAATTATTGAATTACAGAAACATTACCAAAATTCTAACAAGAGATTGTGGTTGAGAGGTAAGCACTCCAAGTTCATTGTTTTCCCATTCTACGCCTTATTCACCGTGTCTACCATTTTCCCATTATACTATGCTGGAAGAGCAATTGCTGGTATCAAAGATGAGGAATAATTGGAGGGTTTGACATCTTACATAAAAGGATATTACTTCTATTTATATGAATATTTGCATTAGATTCATACTTTATTCTCATTTAGCTAAATATAATTTTACACTTCAATTGACAATCCAGAAATTCCATGTTTAAGCTTACGTGGAGTTTTGGAAGTTTGTACCGTTAGATAGGTTTCTAATTAATGAGTATCGCCTAATATTTCGTATAAATCGGATACTTGTAGAAGTGCGAATAAATGTGTACTAAATCATCGGTGGACTTGGACGGAAGAACAGCAATTGCAGAGATCAAGTCAAGAGTACCAAGAAAGATGAAGCTGTTATTAGATATACCGTTAGAAATAGTCGATGATATACTATTTTTCTTGCCCCAGCAAGAGATAATTAATTTATCGCTAACAAACTTTCAGTTTTATCAGCCATGTATGAAAAAATTATATCAGAAGGTAACTATTAGAAAAGACCCAGTGCTTAAACAGAATAAGAATAATGTACGAGGCATTGACTTCACTGATTCAACTCAAACCGTTATTTATGGGTTCAATAAGATTACAAAGGAGGAGAATCATTTCAAGCTTATCAATGCCCGCTTGCAATCATTAATATCCTCAATTTCAATCAATACACAACTACTTGACTATATTGAAGAAGTAACAATCTTTGATTCTTTTGATAAAGCCATCAATGAAACATTACTAAAGTTAATAAGTTCGCTAGAGAAGTCTGGCTTGAAAAGATTGATAATCACCAATCCCGCATTACGGAAACAGGTGAATCAAATCATATTGAAAGATGGATTTCAGAATCTTCAGTCGATAATAATTGATAATGTAAACCAATTAAACGGCATAACTAAGTTTCCTAGCATTAGAGAGCTAATTGTATCATTCAAGGAGGATACTCAAGAAAATCAATTCAGTGAGCTTAGGGTAAACCAACATTTGGTTAAAAGTCTAAAACAACTCAGGTCAATAACTGTAACAACGGATAATAAATCATACATCCTTTTTATAGAAGTTTTGAATTATATTAATGACAAAATTGCATTTCAACTAAATTTACACATGTTTACGTTGAACTATTACCACAATGACTTATTACTTATCGAGAAATTTATTAAGAGTAATATTATAAATTGGAAAACAATTACATCCTTACAGTTAGCTATTGGATGTGATGACGTGAAGTGTAATCAAGAATGTTTGTCGAGATTAACACTTCCGGTTTATTTGTTGCAAAAGATTGCCTTTGTTCAGAATACTGAAAAGGTTATTGACACACATAAATTTAATGAAGTATGGGACATTAAGGTCGTTGGTATGTTGCAAGAACTCAACACTAAAGTCTTAAAGTATGTTTCTATTCGACACAGCCCATGCGAAAATGGAGTGTTCTTCGATGGAATGGAAGGAAATTATTTACAACGTGTAAAGCTATACACACATACCCTACCAACCGCAATTGAATCAAATAGAGCTACTTTAGTATTGCCTAACTTCATGAAAAGTTTGTCATGCTACGAGCAAATGATGAATAATTTATTGTGGAATGGTTGCAAGTGTGGCCATTGTGCAATTTACTTGGGCGACTTGGACGAACATCTTATGTGCCACAAATATTATAACTTGAAACTACACCGATTCAAGGATATTATCAGTAGTAACTTACTTGTCACCATTAGCGAGTGGCTAAGCAGACGACTCCATGGCTCCGATATTTTGAGTGATCTAGATTACTTAAGGTATCCGTTCAAAGATAATACGTGGAACTTCCATGACAACCTTTTCTCCATTCCCTTCAAATGCTTAAACCACAAGAACTATGAAGAGCACGAATACGATGATGAAGACGAAGTAGACATCTTCCACGATGCGAAATCTGAGTTTGAGCCGTGCAAATTCGACGAACATCTCTTCAGACCCGTTGGAAAATGTATGTCTCACTTCATAAACGATCTCATTATTCAAATTGTTGATCTAAATAGAGGTAACGCAGAGGATATCGAACTCGACAAGTTTAATGATCTCAATGATGGAACTGGTATTGAGAAATTTAGAAAAATCATATTCAACGGAATTTGCTACAACTTAGACAAAGAATTGAACGGTACAAGCTACTTTCAAAATGTATATGATTAATTTTTTGAATCGAATATTCTACCAAAAAGAGTAGGTATGTTCTTGTAGCTTCGTGCTTACATTAAGGCGACAGCATACTAAACAACAACAATCATAAAAAATATCAGCGCATCTTAATGCTAACATGTTAATCTCATGTTACGAAATTTCAATCGCACTTAACTCCGACATACCATTAAGCAATACTTCGTATTCTGCAATAATGTGGACTCGGGAACTACCCTATCCATGCACATATTTGATTTTTTAACCGCTATGCCTACGCCTGAAAAATACTATGCACCTCGCTACTATTGATTGCCTTGCAGACTTTGAAACTCAGAAGATACTCACACCTGAAAAGACATATTCCAGAATACACAAAAAATTTCAATAGATCTTCTAATACCACACAATGCATTGCCACATAATGCTATCCATAAATCTTATTTGTAGAATACAATAAACACCGAATCACGCAGAAAAGATGATGAAATACCAAAGCCAAACAATAGGAATTAATTTCAGTGCACCAAACGACTTACGCGAATATATCCAGGGACTGCCAGGTGATTGCGTCAAACCCTGATCTGTCGGTGAATAGACGGTGTGTAGTGGACCAGACAAAAAAACCCCTTCCCGCTAATTCTTATACTCACTCGGCAATTTCTGGTCTACTTCTTTAGGAAACATGCCAAACACACTCTCTTAGGGCTGTGTAAATTGTAATTTAGCCCAAGGTGCATTTTTGAGAATACGCTCTATGGGCCCCTATTTCGACATATGCCAATATTGTGCTGGCTAATTCTATCGAATCGCCCATACCTACTGCACCAGATATCTGAAAGGGTATTTGTGTTTATAGATCTCAAAGTTGCGATTCAATGAGATTCGATGAGATTCATGATTCTAGATTCTCGATCGTTGGTTGTCGACCTTCAAATCCAACATTACTCCTTCCACCCAATTGATTCACATTGGAAGGACTTCTTGTTGGCGTCCTACCTTTTCGTCTGCAACGTTTGAGTTCGAAATCCCAAACCTTAATGGTGCCTTCACATTCCAATTACACACTAGAATTTTATCCCTGATTGTAAGTATTACGTAAACCTCATCGTAGACTCAGTGGCTCAACAAAACGCACGAAACGCTGGAATGATGGTAATCGGCTACAGTTTACGGAAGGATCCAAATATGCAGTGCCCAGACGTGACGACGTGGTGATATGGGGAACAGGGTTTTAAGCCGTGATACCGTTGGCATGCTGAAATCGATTTTACCGGATACCGAACCTATTGTTCATCACGATTAGGACGGCATAAAAGATGATGCGGCATTGTCACAATCCCAGAGCAATAATTGGTCCACACGTATACGTAGATTACACAAGCTTCATACCGTGGTGTGCATGAATATAATTGGATGTGATAAAGGGTCTCGATTGGTATAATAAGAGACTTCTACCTTAAACAAGTTAAGTGTTTGTTACGGTGTGGAACGATGGGTCCAAGGGAATATTTTTTTAGAAATACGTATCATTACACCGCAAGCATATTTCAAGTACAGAAAACAAGATTGTGGGTGCTTATGCTATGGACACCTTGTCTACATGACCTACTCTCAGGGTCGTCCAGGGTCGTCAGATTAAAAAGCGGGAATACCTGCCAGTCTCCCTCATCTCGCCCATCTACGCATTTTACGGATTCTATTGCACATGTATTTTGTTGTATTGTTTGATCATTAATCGTACTATGTAGTTAGTCTTCTGCAGCTCCCCCCTCTAGAACCTTTTTGTTCGCTTCTTGCCGTTCTTGTGGGTTTTGTAATGCTGCATGCAATTGTCTTGCCGGGCGAATCTTGCGTCGCAACTTGGCCACGGACAAAAATGTTTTCTCTCCCCGGTATGGATTCTATTGTGCCTTGCCAAATGTCCCGATGTGGTAAACGACCTCAGACATACCTTACATGTATGCTTACGTTTGTCTTTCATACGAGATTCTTTGAAAGAGTACGCCGACAGGGGAGGCGTCGGGATTTTAAATTGGTCGATGACCGTGGAATGCGTGTAGGGAGTGTTAGGGAGATCCTGCGCAGGCCCGTGTAGCGAAGGCGGTATAGGCGCTATTTGGCCGGTGTGGACCAATTGCGCTGTCAGAGTGCTATTGGGCGGCGATTGCGCACTATGCACACCACCAATAGTCGGGTGTTGGATCGCACCACCACTCATCGGGGCAACGCCGTTACCCATCGCACCAGAAAGTGGATGGGGATGAATGTTCGCAGGGGCCGGTATAGCACCCTTAGGATATTGTGTGAAATCTGTGGGCAATGGAATGCTTGTTAAGAGCTCATTGAATGACGGCAATGTTAGCTGATACGGCTGCGGATGCCTTATATTCGTGTACGCGTGGTCTCTATTAAACATCGATGTGTAGGGCGTAGTCGTAGACATAGTGAAGGATACTTATGGAATAGTGGGCGACGTCTAATATATATACTTTTTCAATGCACCCAAGATAAGATGTAACGTTTATTACAAATATGTACTCTGTATACAGACCTACGTATGGGACCCATCCTGTCAACAATAGAAGCATGAAGGTTAGTCGAACAATGCATTCGGTATGGCGGGTTTTTCTTCTCTTAGCATTTCGGTTATACAGCTAAGACCGAAAATCAATGGATATGCGCGTTGGGACAAAATACTGGATAATAGGCGTAGTGTGACTGAGATTCCATCGTACTTCGCCAATGATAGCCTGTACAGGGTTTCACAATGCATTGCTCCGAACTTCGTTATTATTCTCTAATTAGGCATCGGTTTGTTTTCTTTGTTTGGTTTCTGTTCCAAGATACGACAAATAGTGAGCAATAGTGAGCAAAGCAAATAGAGCATCTTGATCACCAAACACCGAGAAGACCCTCAGGACTTATTCACCAAGTTGGAATATGTAGAATTTGTGCATACTTAGGCTATTGTCTACAAAAATATATTTGTCCATACCAAAAACAGAAAAAACCAATAACCCAGATGCGTCTAGAGGTCATGGCTTTGAAATGTCCTGTGGAATTAGTTAAGTATACTAGTCGTGGAGACGATAGCAACTAAAAGTAGATTGTTCTGATCGATGGATGTGGGCTGAAATCTTGGATTCTGGGGGGTATGGATCGTGTTGACATAGGGGTTTGGGTGCTTCACGTGCAACATGGTGATCCTATATTGATTCTCGGATGACATAGAAGTGAAAAATCGAAACCTATAACGTGTACGATTCAACAAGCACTTCGTAAACACAGAGATGATTAGAACCAGCATTCGTCGCTTGACTATAAGCAGGAATCATGATATCAAGCTTCCATTCGTGCCTTTGGTATCAGAGAACGGTTTCCCACAGGCAATTGGGAATACACCGCTTCTCAGGTTACCCAGAATATCCGAGCAGATCGGAAGAAATGTGTACGCTAAAGCTGAATTTATGAACCCAGGAGGATCAATTAAGGACAGGGCTGCCTTGTATGTTATTAAGGATGCCGAAGAGAAGGGTTTGATCAGACCTGGTGGAACCATTGTGGAAGGTACTGCTGGTAATACGGGGATCGGGTTGGCCCATGTATGCAGAGCTAAAGGCTACCAGTGTGTAATCTACATGCCGAACACCCAATCTAAGAATAAGATTGAGACGTTGAGGTTATTAGGAGCCACTGTTCACCCAGTTCCAGCGGTTGCATTTGACAATCCAGAAAACTATAATCACCAGGCTAAGAGGTTCGCTGAATCCCAAGAAAATGCAGCCTGGACCAACCAATTCGATAATGTTGCCAACAGACAGGCACATATTGAAACAACTGGGCCAGAAATCTGGTCTCAATTGAACGGTAAAGTGGATGCTTTCACCTGTTCCACTGGTACCGGGGGTACTCTTGCTGGTGTAACCAGATACTTGAAGGAAATCTCCAACGGGGCTACCAAATGTGTCTTAGCTGATCCACCAGGATCCGTCTTGTATTCTTACATCAAGTCTAATGGAGAAAAGATGGAAAGAGGTGGTTCTTCCTTCACTGAAGGTATTGGTCAAGGTAGGGTTACCGATAACTTAAAGCAAGAAATCCCATTAATAGATGATGCTTTAAAAATCACCGATGAGGAATCAATTGAAATGTTGTACCGTTTGTTAGATGAAGAAGGATTATACATCGGTGGTACCGGTGCTTTGAACGTTGTCGCTGCTGTCAAAGTAGCCCAATCGTTACCAGAAGGTTCGAATGTCGTTACTTTGTTAGCTGATTCAGCTCACAAATATAGTGACCGTATCTTCTCTAAAAGCTGGTTACAGTCAAAGGGCTTATTTGACGCTTTACCTTCCCATTTGAAGAAGTATGCTACTCTCGATTGATTGTATCAGATCTCCGCGAATCAGTTTGATTAAAAGTGGTACCTAAGAAATAATCAAGAGTCATCAATTTCACCCGTTTATATAAAAGTTTAACGTAAATACGCTACCATTGCAAGAATAGACTACAATTCTCCATTAATGACTCACTACTGTATATTCTTGTCCATTATCATGACTCTACATAGAGATCATAAAAATCACTCTGCCAAATTATTCCAATCTCCGTTGCTTGCAATAACAAAACATACTATTACTATGTTCCGTTTCTATAACCAGACACCAGTAATACTATATGTTCTCTTATAGATAATCCATTTGTAGTCTTTAGTAGTCCGACCTAGTAATCTTCTTGACAGAACAATAATCGTGTGAGTGCGAAAAACAAAAATTTTTTTCAGCTTGAGTCTACACTGTTATGATTCGAATCATACTTGCATGTCAAAATAGCTATAGCATAGGATCGAATATAAATAGAATAGTCCCCATATACCACGAAACAATTCGTAGAGAAATATAACAGGTTACATTTACCAATATAGACTATAAGAACAAAAATACACAAATATATATACGACTGAAAACTACAGTAAATGGATGAACAAATTCTGAAGGCAGTCGAAATTGCTC